GGGGGGGGGGGGGTGTTATCTGCAGCTGAGGAGTTCTCAGCTCAGGGGGCTCCCAGCCACGGGACCTTGCTTTTTGCCTTATAGCATGGCAAGAGACACGATTTTGTGGATTGTGCATTAGATCCCATCATGCCTTTACCACGCATGTAGGGGGCCACTAAAATACATCAGCCTAAACTGGGTAAAGGATAGGACATCCCAAAAATGTACTCATAACCACTGTACTGTTCTGCCACTAGTTGGATCTTGCTTTATATGAGCACTAGCCAACAAGAAAGGCCATAATTCTTCTACAGGGGATCTGAGTTAAATCTGCAGTTTGCATAAATATAACTGCCCAGCACTGATTCAGGGCTGTTCCGCCACCCCTCCACCATTTGCTCTTTCTGCATAAGGGCCTGAATCAACACCAAATTAATTTAATCAAGGCCTGAACATGGTTCTCTGGTACACAGTAACACCCTGGATGTCACACAGAAGCTTTAACAAACTGAGAAAAGTCACCACCTGTAAGGGCCATATTTGCTTCATAATAGAAAATATACCCCAAATGACCTAAAATTCCTGCTTTAACCATAAAACAGCAACGTATTTCACAAAACAGCCCCAAGATAATTCTTGTAAGTGATGCTGTGTATCCCACAAAGCATATCATTGTCACGCACAAAAGATTGCTTCCTCATATTGACAGGAGTTAGAAAGTGTTAAGTGGATAAAGCAGATCCAAGCATGAGAGAAGAGTAAATACGACAGACAATCAGAAGAAAGCAGAAACCCACACCATCCTAGATAAAGCGAAAATGCCCTTCTACTGCTACAAAACTAACAGCAATAAACTAACTAGTTCTCTTCCCTATATGGACTATAAAGCATGGCCTGCATTTGCAAGTCTGAAATGGATCTCTCTGTGCTTAGGGACAGATGGTGGCTGGACCTGTACATTCTTCAGAATTGAGTTCTTGATATTTAAGAGGAATAACCCAAGGTCAACATGAGTTAGTGGGAACTGTTTGCAACCTGTGGGAGCTTTTGACCCCCAATGTGTCAAAAGGAAATACCCAGCTTTTGACCCCCAACGTGTCAAAAGGAAATACCCAGCTACTGAGAAACAACAGATGCACATGTATAAATACAGAGAAGCATCATCTACAGGCTTGATTTTAGGTTCAGATTCATATGGGCCAATCTCTGGATCAGTGAGGAACCCTCTTAACATCAGTGGAACTGCACATGGATGCAGGGGTTCTCACTTGTGGGTCAGCTTGCTGAAGTATGTAATTTCATGGGTGAGTTAACAGCCTACCAACATTTTTGGGATAAAACCCTATAGAAAGTTGCATTGAGCCAAGATAATGGCCTCTCAGACCAACAATTTGGGGAAAAAAATTCTTCCTAAGTGCATGTGGTAAATCTTGACTCTGACTAAATGGCAAGTGTAAATGAGGAAAGAAGATGCTGAAGTCAAGTGGCTAAATAAAACTACTGAAATCAACAGTTTCACAGTAACTTCAGTGTGGCCATAATTTTACCCAGGGCCACAATGTCAATCACAGAGGAGAGCATTCTAATTATTCTAATTTCTGCACTAAACTGGGGGTGGGGGGGAGGAAGGGGGACAGATCCTGATCCATCACTTGCCATAGAACACTGAGGGCCAATTAGCTTTACTGGCAAAATGAGTCACACACTACACACATTTGTGTACACCAGATAGGTAGAGGAACATGCGACTGAACAACTGTACACTTTGTTGCCCACTGGCACGCATACATTTTTCAGGGACAAATTTAGGAATCAATGTGTCAAGGTATGACCACGAAAGGTTATCTGTGTGCAGGGCTTTTCCACTGCGTACTCTTTTCTAAAGCAAAAGTGCCCAACAGAAAAGCCCACAATCTGAGGAAAAAACAGTATGATGTGAAGGCTAGTGGCAAATTCAATCATAAAATGCATCAGTTAATGTAATATTGAGCAAATATATCAGGGTTTTGTTTTTAAGCCTTCCTGAGAGACACTGGGTGTTGGCTGTAGCCAAGGCTAGAGATTTTGACTGGCGTGTGGCAGTGCTCCTCCTGAGACTTAAAGTTGGAGGTTCCCGGTTAGAGGGTCTTCCCTCTCCCCTCAGAGTCAGACCGATTACCATACTTAGGGTCAGGAAGAAATTTTGCCTCATGGTCAGACTGGTATGGAATGTGGGGGCCTTCTTCTCTGATGGGGGGGTGTAACCCCCTACCTGGGATCTCTTAAATATATATTAACAACCTTTTACAAAAGCAGGATGTTGGCTGCCATGGTCCTTCACCTTTACCTGTGGCAGGTTAGGGTGTTGTCTTGTGTTATGTCAGGGTTGACACTAGTTTTACTAAGAGCTTGGATTAGGAATTTTTATAGCCTAGTTTGGATAAGAATGATCCCCCAGGCAGGGGGTTGGACTTGAAGACCTATGGAAGTCCCTTCCAGCCCTACTTCTCTATGATTTCTCACAGAAGTTTTTACTCCACTCAAAAATTTGCAAGTATGTTACTTTGTGTTTTCCCACTAACACAATGACCCCAATATATAACAACAGATGCAAAAAGGATATTTGAGGCAGTAAACACATATGTTATCCATTTACACTGCCAAAGTAGCACAACTGCAACCAGAACAAGTGCAGTGATCATGCTTAATATTCAGCATTTATCCACATTTATCCCATGCACCCTGGTTTTTAAAAAAAAAATGTTCTTAAGTATGGTAGAGATTCCTAATCAGCTGAATATCTCAGGGCCTATCTTTGCTTGAATTTCAAATCCACAAGACAGATCTGAATATCCAACTTTCAGAAAAGCAAACAGTTATGGTCATGGAAATTTATGTAGGGTATGGACAGACGTAACGCTTCGAACTTTCTAAATACACTTTAAAACCCAAGAGTCTAAATGTGCATGCCACTTCAGACTGGTTTAAACTTCCTGGAACATTTCAAAAGTGCACCAGGAAAATCAAGTACTATTTTGAGCCAGTCCTCCTTGAACTAGTTCAGTGTTATGTACAGACACATCAAGCATTCTGTGCTTAGTCTGGTCAGTCCTCCAGGCATCCCACAATGCAGTGTATGTCACCCTCACCTCCCCCTGACCCATCCAGGGGCTGCTCTGGGATGCAACCAGGACTCTGTTGGCAATAAATCTTTGAGCAGTAGAGACCAGACAGGGAGAGCAGATCACAAGCACGGGTACACCGAGTCCCTCCCACTCCTCCCCAGTCCCTGGCAACCTCTCCACTCCAACTACCACCTCTTCTGGGCCTTCCTTCCTGTAGGGACATCCTGGGGAAACTCTGAGCACTGACCCTTAGAAGGCATGATGGTCTGTGTACTCTACCAACTCCTGGAGGCATTTTGGCAGCACTGCAATCCTTAAAAGGTGAAGTTTTACTTGGAACCCTTAGCAGTGTACATGTGGACACTTCAGTCCAGGGACAGCTGTGAACCAATTCCCAATCAGTGACATTTTTGGAACAGTTTAAGTGTTATGTCTGTTTGCACCCTTATTGTCCATATACCATTAGGCAATCGTGTTAATGATATGTTGACATATTAATAGCAGTTGTTCTATTTTTGCTTTGACTAGAGACATGGGCATGTGACATTGTCAGTCTGCAAGATAAATAAAACAATCTAGGATACAACACAGGGAATTAAACCAGCTCTTTTTTCTGCAGTGTTTCATGCCAGAATCTTAAAAATCTAGCTATCAAAGCCATGCTAAAGACAACCTGGAAGGGAGACTGACTGATTTTTCCCAAACATGGTTGTACAGTACCTCTGTAGTTCAGAGTAGGTTCAGACTGAGTTTTTGATGGAGGGGCTGAAAAAGGAAAGCATTGAAAGGACAAGAAAAAACACATTAGAGATCAGACAAATCACCTGGTAAACCACAGATATGATTCATTACTCTTAGTATGTGTCTTCACAAGCACTGTTAAGAATGGCTTTTTCTGAAACTGGACATGCAAGGCTGCTGTTTGGAACTGCAGAACACTTATCTGAAGAGAGAGCTTTGTTTTCATTCCTGACCTTTACAGAGGCTGCTTCAGTTGCTAAAAGAAAAAATGTAAGTAGGTGGCAGCAGAGTTTATCTTTTAACAAGTCTTTTAACTTTTGAATGAAGTGTTCATGTCTCGGGCAAAGGGAGGGTGCCAATCAGTCAGCTCATCTAAAATCAACTCTTACTTACAGCATGTGTTTTTCAGCATATGAAATGACAGAAGTAGGTTTTTTAGGGGATCCCTCCCAAATGAAAAGGTGAACAGGAGTCCAACTTCTCCTTCTTATCATTAACAATGCAAGTGCCCATTCTGCAGCCCAGATAGGTGGGTGACTGCCACTGATATCCCTGGAAACCTCTCCCTTGGAATGCCATCAAAATCTTGTGAGAAAAAATTATGTTCACAAGGCTGCACTAGATACATTTTATTTAAATTATTACTTTTTGTTATTTCTCTGGTTCAATGCAAACACAGGCAGACGTAATGAAACTTACGAGGAAAATATGAGTGCCCCAGACGAACATGTGGGCCCAGAAAACATATTACTCTGATAAAAGGGATAATGAGATGATACAAAGAATTTTTCAGTCACTTGGTGCAATGGATTTCATATTCTGCAATGTACTAGTCAGCAACAGCATCTGTTGTTTATTAGAATCTTGCTTAATGGAATCAGCTACATATCAGAATTAAAACCAAGAGCCATAAGTCCAGGCATTTTTGACTATTTACTAGCATACCATTCAATGGAATCAGCAACTATCTGAAAGTGTACTCTACACCTAACAAGCTTTTTCATTACTCAATCAAGTACTCTAATCAAGTTCACGTATGTGCATGTTCTTTGCATAGCTAAGTTGCTATGTAACAGCTGGTGACAACTGAGCATGTGTGATCATAGCATTTGCATGAGCTTCTTAGTTTACTTTCTTTACTTTGCTGGTGCTTATTAGAATCACTGGTTATTAAAATAAAAATGATCTGTCTGATGTGACTCTAATAAATGATGGACATTGTACTAACCCTGAAAGTGAATCTGCTACTGTAGACTCCTGCATTTGTTTTGACTTCAACAGGACTCTTCCTATATAAAAGAATTATAGTGCTCACCAGGACCTACTGATACATACTACTAATCATACTGTCATTTTTCTTGTTCAAATATTCCAATTTAAAGGAAAAAAATGCTTTCAGAAAGCCAAGACTAATTATCTAGCAAGATATCACTGAGGCATACTATGGCTTGATAGAGAACTCTCTGCAAACATAATGCATAACTCCAGAGTGGTTAATTTAATTAAATACATAAAAATGAAAGGGTAATTGCATTTGAGTTGTGGCAGTAAGTAGCACTGTATTTTGCAGATCTCTTTTGAGACTCTCACCAACTCGAAGTGAAAGAAGACATTTCATTTAATTTAAAGTCTAAACACATTGAAATTTAGATTATACCAAAATAAAACTGTCATTCAGAGGGATTTGAAAGAAGAGACAAAGCACCAACATAAATAAATTACTGTATAAATAAAAGATAACCCTGCCTAAGCGCATATACAGTGGAGGAATAAATAACAAAGTCAGTGCCCCTAGAAGGGCTTCTGATTGTGACAAACCGCAGGAAGCGATTTTTAATGAAGATCACTTTCTGGCAGCAAAAGGAGTCATGCTTATCAACATCAGCTTTGAATTTTTAAAGCATGTTTAATATTTATGCTATCTGAATCAACAAGCAGTCCAATTAAACTTGAGTCCAGGTAGGCATCATTAGAATAAAAAATGGGGAAAAAAAGACAATTCACAAATGAACAACATTTTAAAGACAAATACCTCCTTAGGTCCTCTTCACTAATAGTAAATACCTTTGTTCATAGGAAGAAATGCATCTGCATTTATCTGCAATTGTTTCTCATAATCTCTAGTATATTTCTGCTCTTCTCACTTCTACCAGCTGCCATGACTTTTTCCTATCTGTCTTACAGTACAGGTGACAGAACAGCTCTCTCTGGACACAGTCCCAGGGTACGTGCACCCCCTGTTTATAGCAAAGCTTGGAGGCAGCAAGGCTCCTCCTTCACATCTTTAGTGCAGGCCAATCACCTCTTTGACAGCTGGTGGCCTTCACTGGCAGGCTGCCCAGGAACAACACACACTATTTATGAGCTAGGGACTCCTGGGTGACAGCTGAGTGCACTGTCGTCACTGCTGCTGCAACTGGCTGTGCTTATAAAACCCAAGTAAATCTATAAAGCTGAAATGGATGCAATCCTATTTAAATAATAAATCAGCGACGATGGTGTTAATAGGCTGCAGGTGTGATTCTGGGTTCATCACTAAGTGCACAATAGGTGGTGTTAATCTTGACTCACCTCTTTTCCTATCCCAGGCATACAGTTCCTTTATCCCCAACTCATCCAAGGACTTGGTAAGCTCCAGCTCTTCCCCAGTGATGTTGTCCCTCAGGAGGACAACATGCTCCTGGCTGACTTCGCACTTCTCACAAATGGCAGGGATGATGCTGTGCAGAGGCACCTCAGGACTAACGCGAACCACTGCCTTTTGTGTCTTGAGGTAATTCACCACCAGCCTTACTGACTTCTGAGACAGAAAAGGGAAAAGACACTGTCAGTCTGTAGATTCAGGTCCCCACAGTGATGCTTCCACCATTTAAATAACACAAAAGAGATAAGTGTTTTCCTTCATCTTTCAAATGCAAATCTAGTGATTCACATGGGGAAAGTTACTATTGGGCAGAAAGTTTAAAACCTAATCTCTAGCGGTACCTCTTTCACTGGGGAGTGAGTCATAAAGTCAATTTAGTCAGAGAGAAAAATCAGAGGCAGTCATACACTAGAAATCCTATCCTAAGTATGAACTAATTACTGTCACAGCAAAGTAAAGCACCTTCAGAAAGAGTTTAAAGTTAATCACATGGAAGTCCAGAAAACTCTTCCAAAACCAAATGCTTGGAAACCATATTTCTGTTTAAGGAATAAGGATCTCTGAATTCATATAATTGCAAGATAGAAGCAGTGTGGTCCATGATCTGAATCACTGTGTGACCCCTGTATGCTGAGCCACATGTGCAAAGGAATCACCAAATTGGTGGAATATTGCCAACTAAGGATTCCTTGAACTAGGAACTGCAGCTCCTATATCACCTTTGTTCACAAAAGCCAGCACACCGGATGTGGCCAAGAGAAATGAGACCCCAGTGCATTTTAACAATGTCATTTTTCAAGATACATATGTACCTTCCTATATTTATGTGTAGTTAGAAATCCTGACACATATTCGTATACTGTGCATTAAGAATTTTATCTGACCTTACCGTTACATGATAATGTTAGAGACTGGATTGATTTACCACTCTAGCTTTACCAATTTAGTTGATGACTATTCAAACTGTATAAAAAGAAAATCTGAGCTTCTCCCCTTCAGATTTGAAGACAAGAAAAGTGGAACAGGTAGCAGCAGCATCCCTGTTAGAGACTGTGATAGTGGGTTCATAGCACCTGTTCTCATGCCAGGTGGTACTGACCTCAGGGACCTTAGGCGGGGGTCGTTTTATCTTTCCTTCAGGGACCTTCTCCTTCAGAAGTACTGTCTGAAGATCCAGCACCCCTATCAAAGTATTTGGCTTGTAACTCAAAGGTTGCTGTGACTCCCAAGCCTTCAGTTCAAGAGTATGGTGGGCTGGATTTAAGTGGTAGCGGCTGCACAAATCAACCAACAGATCCATCACAGCTTTACTGCAAAGAAAAAAAAAGGGACATTCTCTATTATTACGAGGGGAAAAACTGAGTTGCTAGAATGTTACTGAAGTTTCATATGACAGAAGCAGCAGCCTAGGCTGTGGATTTTTCTCAAGCTTCGGAAAGCTACTGAAAAACAACAAGTAACATATAAATATATATAAAAACAACAGATATAAATACTAAGAATTACATATTTTCCTGTGCAGTGCTTTTGAGTTACTGATTAACTACTCACTGTCAGACAACAGAAGTAATAGTAGTACCTCTAGCAGTAGCCATGGGTGGGTGAAGGGCAGCTTGTTAGCTGAGTGTACCCATAAAGTTGTAACTTGTGTACTCTCACCTTTACCTTGGACTCTGAGGGCAAAAAACTACATGTTCAGACATGCAGTGCTCCATCCTGATCTGAGTAACCAGATCCTGCTTCTCCAACTGTAGCAGTTTAATCTGAGACAAAAGCTTGATGAGTAACTATTTCAATCCCAGAAAAATTATAAATTCAAAAACATTTTCACTTTGCATCTTCCCTTCCAAACTTTATTTATATGCATACAGACTATAAATACACACATGCATACACAGTACTTCAAAACAAGAGAGAGAGAGAGAGAGAGAGAAAGGGAAACAGAAACACCTCCACACACTAGAACAGCCTAGTACTCAGGTTATGCACCTGAGATATTAGAGACATAAATTTAAGTCTACCTTACCATATGCTCACATCCCAAAGTAAACACGGGTTTAAAAGTCTCTCTCTCACTCATCTCTTGAGTAGAACCTGTTCCTCTGTCTAAATATTTCACTGGGCCAATGAGAAAACATACTCCATATCCCAAGAGTTTATGGTCCTCCTCTGGGATTTTGGAAAACAGAAGAGCAAAAAGTTTCCCTTGTGTCTTCCACACCCCAGGCATGTGTCCAAGTCACCAAGCTATGAGCTATTCTGAATCGGATGTTATTCTCTCCCTCTTTTTCTCTCTATCCCCAGAAATCCCATTGTATTCCTGACAAGGTTCTTGTGGTAAATCTGGTATCTTTTATTTGATCAACTCATATAGCTGGAAAAATTCTTCTTTGCAAGCTTTCAGGTACAAAAACCCTTTGTCAGGCTGAGGAAGCATCCGCAGTTGGTGTGCGCTCTTCCTGGATGGAACGAATAGTAAAGAAGCTAGAGGCTGGTATGCATGCAAGAAGGCCAGTCCTGAGAAACTTTTCCTGACAAATGTTTTGTTGAAACTGACACGTTCATGGAAATTTTTCACTTTTAACAACTTTACCATCTTCCAACAACAACAAAAAAAGTTTTGTCAAAAAACTCCTGTCCAGCTCTACCTGGCACCTGTAATTTTCACAGAAGAGTTTTTGTTTGTTTGTTTGTTCTTTTACAGTGAAGGAAAAAAAAAGAAAAATTGTATAGACACGGCAAGGCAAAGGCATATTACTAGCGAGTAGTCTTGTAACAGCACTATTAATTTACACATTCTTCATGAAGTGGAAATGTAAAGAAGGATGCTTCCAAGAACCCTGCAGGAGCTCCAAAATGTTCACAAGACAAAATCCTCTCCCCACTGAGGCAAAAGATGTGAGGAACTCAAGGTTCATGGCAGTGGCTTTGTGTTCACCTAGGTTTGGTTGAAGAATTATTTAAGATAGAATTCTAAATATTTGAAAACATGGGGCACTGCATAAGTAATGGTTCATACAAAATGCTATTCTATAAATCCACTGCACAAGGGAGTCCAGATAATATCAAAGTGTTCTATTCCCCAAAATGTTCAACAAGCATCAATAGTTTCATAGAATTATAGAAGCAGGGTCGGAAGGGATGTAGTAGATCTTCAAGTCCGACCCCCGCCTGGGCAGGAGAAAAACTGAGCTCAAATGACTCCAGCCAGGTAGGCATCAAGCCTCTTCTTAAAGACCCCCAGGGTAGGAGCCAGCACCACTTCCCTTGGAAGTTAGTTCCAGATCCTAGCCACCCTAACTGTGAACTAGTTCTTACGGATGTCTAATCTAAACCTACTCTCCAACAACTTGTGGCCGTTATTCCTTGTTATGCCAGGGGGCGCTAGGGGAAACAAGGTCTCTTCCAAACCCTTCTGGTCTCCTCTAGTGAGTTTATAGATGGTCACCAGGTCCCCCCTCAGCCTTCTCTTGTGAAGGCTGAACAGGTTCAGGTCCTGCAGTCTCTCATTGTAGGGTCTGCCCTGT